TTAAGAACCACTGCTCTAGAGTGTGCATTTCTACCTTCAAGAAATATTGTGCATATGGAATGAACTCCAATTTCCACTGGAGTTTCAACCGTCCATAAATAGACAATCATATCAGCCTGCTGTTCATCAGAATTTGGAGTTACAGTTTTATTGTTGCTGTTTTTGTTCCTGAAGGTGAAATAATTCATGGCAAGCGCAATGAAGCTTCTCTCTAGACTTCCCATTTTAAAGTCGGCTAATGCCCCTAGATGGCCTTATAGAGTCCAGAGGCAGGCCAGCACTGAATCAGCGCTGAATCTGGATTTCTTGGACTTTGAAGCCATATGCAAAAACCCACCGGAGCATTTTAATTTTGCAAGGGATATTCTGGATCAGTGGAGTCAAAAGGAAAAGGTATGACATTGTTACCTCTTGAACAGAATAATTTCCTTTTAATAGTGTGCCATCGTACAAGCAAAGGCAGAAGAATATTGACCATTATGCTCTTATAATACCCTGAACACACAAATTGCCATCTTGTTTTGGAAGCTAAGCAGTGTTAGTCTTGGTTAGGATTTGGATGGGAGACCACCACTAATCTAGGCATCTTCAGAGGACAGGAGTTTGAACTCTGCCTGTGTTCTGGTGTAGTGTGTGGGATAGTTGAGTGAGTATTTGTAGCTATGGGATCAGCTTTTTGAGCTTTCCAGGAGATTGGATGATTATGGTGATCAGGGTGTTTTTTGTTAAGGGTGTATTGTTGTGATAAGGAGGTCCTTTTTGGGAGATTGGGTGATTGGGAGATCTCCCCCCTCCCTTATCACAGCAATACACCCATAACAAAAAACACCCTGATCACCATAATCACCCAATCTCCTGAAAAGGACAAAAAGCTGAAGATGCCAACCACAGAGACTGGTGAAACATTAGGAAGAAGAACCTCAAGAACACAGCCAAACAGCATGAAAAACCTACAACCACCATTGGATCCTGGCCATGAAATCCTTCAAGAATACACAGAATGAGCACATGTAGAGGGGAGCCCCTCTGTCTCTGTTACCACGTTCTTAATTATTCCAGCTGTCACTCTGAAAAGAATAGTTCTCCTTGCAGGTAGGCGTTACACAAGAGCAGGATCCAAGATTCTCACATGTGTGGCCCACACACAAGTCGGAAATCCTCCTGTTCACACCTTAATTGTGAAGAGTGCAATGATGAGGGGAGATATCTAGGTTTTCTTCTTTAAGCGTGGCTCCTGTGCCAGGATGACATAAGCCTGAATGGAGTGACGCTTTTGTTTGGCCATACAGTATTTTTGACAGTTTCTGCTGGCATCTTTCCTGTTCTTTCAGTGTCTTTGTTTGCTTTACTTAATTTTTAGCTCTTTCCTCTTGTTGGATTCCTCATTAGAATCTTGTTAAAAGTTCATGCTTCAAGAAGCTATAGTTTTAACAGGCGGAATAATGTATTGAGCTTATCTGTAAGAGTTAACAGACAGATATGGTAGAAGATATGGAGTTATAGAATCCATACATAGATAGCTGCTTGTTACTCCCAGAACTTTTGAAACTGAATTTTGGAAGAATGAATATAAGGGTAGGCTGAAGCCATCCCTACTTGAGTGGTGTGGTAGGCTGATGCTCCAGTTCTAAGAGGATAATCCTACCACAACACTCAGGTAAGGGTGACTTCCCCATATCATTGAATTCATTATTCTGAAAAGTACCTTTCCAGGTTCTGTGTGTTCTAGAGTAAAACCTTGTCATTGAAGACAGGTTTGGAAGCCTAGCATGCTCAAATGCCATTATTGAGCATCTGTTTTATGATGCTTTTTAGGATGAAGGCATGACTTATAAACTTTAGAGTTTGGTGACACCTTAAAGACTGACAAGTCGTATTTGGCATGAGCGTCCTCAGATGCATTGTTGTGCTGCCACTGACCACAGAGGAACATGGCTAGCTCTCTATAAATTAAATTAAATAGTAACGGAATGCTGTTGCTACCTTATGCTTGTGTAAAGGAAATTGTGCCAAGTCTTGGCAGCAAATCACTGCTTCTTAAAGAGGTGCTGGTTGTGTTCCTGTACATGTGCTCAAGGATGCAACCCAGCACATTCTTCGTGAGCAGCAATTTCACACCAAGACTTACATCATAAACAGGAGGATTCTGGCCATTGTTTTATGTGTGGCAGGATGGGAAAAGACCTCCCAACCCAGCCCTCTGGTGGATCGATGGTAAAGGCGAAGAAGTGAGATGGACTTTTGAGGAGCTGGGGGTTTTATCCAGGAAAGCAGCGAATGTGCTCTTGGACCATTGCAAACTGAGCAAGGGAGACAGAGTCCTACTGATCCTCCCCAGGGTGCCTGAGTGGTGGCTGATCACCGTGGGATGCATAAGAACAGGTGAGTGACATTCAACTGATGCCATGAATCTTGGCTGGCCCTACAGTCAACCAGTGTGATCAGTGCCTGAGCTAGCTAAGAGATCTGGGCTATCACAGAAGGGCAACTTACTATTAGCCATTGAATGCATTGTGTGTATATTTTAATTGCTGGGAGAGGCACCCACGAGATTGTTATGCAGAGCTGGGAAAGGTCATTTTTAGACTATAGCTTCTTTAATCCCCTAATGGGCTAATTGTAAACCAATGTTATGATTATGATGATGATGAGAAAATACAGGATGCTGTCTTTGATGGTTATTCCATAACAGCTATAGGTTTTAACCAAAATTCTCAGTTCAATATCAGTGTAATATGTCATCGTTGTTGCTGTTGTTACTATTATTATTTTTTAAACTCTGCTGCTGTGTATCAGATGCCAGGAAAATCTTTTCCAATGCTCCTTCTTTTCCCATTCTTTTTTTTTTTAAAGAAAGCGTTCTTGCTCTTGCTTCTAGGCATTATCTTCATTCCAGCAACCGTCCTACTGACAGCCAAAGACATACAGTATAGGCTTCAAATTTCTAAGGCCAAATGCATAGTTACAAATGATGCCATAGCTCCACTGGTCGATTCTGTTGCCTCCGAATGCCCCTCTCTGAAAAGCCGGATGCTGGTTTCCGAAGGCTGCAGCAGAGAAGGATGGCTGAACTTCCATGATCTGCTTGAGTGAGTATCCTGTCTCCTGCCTCTTAGGAAGGGCCCTACCGTTAGGCAAAGTAAAGCAGCCACCTCAGATGCTGAGTGGTAGAAGCGGCAACCCCACAGGTCCTTCCTCCTGAGTCCTGCCATTGCTCTTCATTGAAGGGTAGAGCAGTGGACCTAAATGAGCCTATTTCCCTTTAGTGTCATTGACTACCATCACTAGCATGCAAATAAGATTCATTTGGGAATCCATATGTAGAATGGAAGGGGAGACATTTGTCCTTCACCTCAGGCGGCAGAGTGTCTTCGTTTGGCCCCAGTAGCACTAGAAGGTCTCTGCAGAAACAACTGCAGGTCCCACTTACTCATTTTACATGAACCCAATCATGTACATTTGGCTCTCCAGATATGTGAACTAACCACCACTACCAGTAACTATCGAGGGATGTAGTGGCGCTGCGGGCTAAACCGCAGAAGCCTGTGCTGCAGGGTCAGAAGACCAGCAGTCGTAAGATAGAATCCACATGACGGAGTGAGCGCCCGTCGCTTGTCCCAGCTCCCGCCAACCTAGCGGTTCGAAAGCATGCAAATACAAGTAGACAAATAGGGACCATCTCGGTGGGAAAGTAACAGCGTTCCGGGTCTAAGTCGCACTGGCCATGTGACCACGGAAGATTGTCTTCGGACAAAACGCTGGCTCTATGGCTTGGGAACGGGGATGAGCACCGCCCCCTAGAGTCAAACACAACTGGACAAAAATTGTCAAGGGGAACCTTTACCTTTACCTTACCAGTAACTATATTCGGTGCATGGGATGGGAATTGCTGGATGAAACATGTGAAGGACCAATGCTTCCCCGCCCTGTTAGAAAGCCAGTACTTGGAAAGAATTGGTTACAGCAGAACTGCTGTATAGCTCAATGATTTAGGCATTTGGTTGGGAGTTCGATTCCCCACCATGGCTCCTTGACAAGACCTGGACTTCCAGCTCGGTAGTTCTAAGAGGATGATGATGACAACATTACTAGTGACTTGCAGTTAATTCCTTTCCACAACAACAACTCCTTACAGTATGTATATTACTTTTGTAACTTAAACAATAGCTTTTGCAGTGTGACAGTTAGTTACTTTCATAGTTATGGGGATGGCCTCCCTCAATGGTCTAGGAGAAACACAACAGAGTTCAAGTACTGGCTCGTGCTGCTGTGAGCTCTGCCATGTATGATGAGGTGACGACCAAGCGGGGACAGGAAATGAAAGTGTTTTCTTCTACAGGCCAGTAGCTTAGAGCATGTGTATGTTTTGAGAAAAAAATTAACTGAAAAGGAAGCCATCTAATCAGTTTTGAGATAGAGGAAAAATATTTTAAGGATAATAGTATCACCTACTTGAAGGTCCTTGGAACTGTAAGTGTAATTGATTGCTTTCTTTTTAAGGTAACTATCCAAGTTCTGTGCAAAACATTGATATGGACTCTGCATAGTCTACTCTAATTTTCCTGCTCCTCTGTTTTAAAGGGCCGCCTCCAGCCAGCATGAGCCTGTGAACACAAAGAGCCAAGACCCAATCAGCTTCTACTTTACTAGCGGGACGACCGGTTATCCAAAAATGGTGGAACATGCCTCCATCAATATGGGGGTGGGGCTGATATACGGTGGAAGGTATCTGTCTGTTTCTCAATCTTCTTTAGCACCATCAAGGCAGAATTCTGGGGAAGAATTGGAGACAGGAAGGGAACCACAAGACCACAAGGCAGGCTTACTGCCTTTTCAAATAGATGAAATATCATTAGCGATGGATGATAATTCCAGTTCAATTTGGAAAAGAATTAACAAAACTTTGCAAATTTCTTCAGATTTAGGATGGAACCAACCTAGCATCTATCTGAAGATGTGGGTGGGTGAGGTAACCTAATAGATTTCCTCCATGTAGATCTTGGAATCTGAGTGGCTAATGTTTTAAAGTTTAGCTCTGAATACACTGGTGTGTATTCAAACATTTAGGGATGAATTAAGGCGGCCACCTTTCTTTCCCTTCCAACAGACCTCTCGTCTTTAATAACAATATGGCAGATGGGTACAACATGGGTTTCTCTGTGCTGGGAGAAGCTGTACCTGTTGAATTTGGGTGGTCCAGATAAAGAAGGATTTGTCCCAGGTCATTTTTGAAGACTCTATCAACATTCACTAATCACCTCTTTTGGACTGAGATACCCTAAATTTTAAAACAAGTCAACAGTAACACTAAGCAAAGCAAACAACTCATTTTACCATTAAGTAAGGGCATGGACCTCCTGCCAACCTGGCAGATGTCTAGTTGCACTGGCCACGTGACCACAGAAACTGTCTACGGACAAACGCTGGCTCTATGGCTTGGAAACAGGGATGAGCACTTGATTTTTTCAGTGCACACTAAAATTTGCAAGAACTTTTTTGGTGTTGTGTTTTTTTTAGCATGACCACTTTTGTCTAGTATATACATTTTTGCAAGCAATTTTCCTTGTATAGTCCATGTAATGTTATTTTCAAGGTAACCTGCATTTTATACAGTTCCCCCTAATATGTGCATTTCTGTACATATATTTGGTTTGGAGACCACATAGTGCAAGGGCTAGTAAATATGATTCCAACTCCCAATTTCAGCCACTCTTACATCTGTTTTATGAAGCATCACTTCCAGATTGTTTTTAAGGGCCACCTCAAGTATAACCAATTACAGTAGTTCAGCCTGAAGGGTACCAAAGTATAGATTATTATGATTATTTTTTTTTAAAAAAAGAGTACTGTAATAGAGTTATATACATTTTTGCAAGCAATTTTCCTTGTATAGTCCATGTAATGTTATTTTCAAGGTAACCTGCATTTTATACAGTTCCCCCTAATATGTGCATTTCTGTACATATATTTGGTTTGGAGACCACATAGTGCAAGGGCTAGTAAATATGATTCCAACTCCTAATTTCAGCCACTCTTACATCTGTTTTATGAAGCATCACTTCCAGATTGTTTTTAAGGGCCACCTCAAGTATAACCAATTACATTAGTTCAGCCTGAAGGGTATCAAAGTATAGATTATTATGATTATTATTTTTTTTAAAAAAAAAGAGTACTGTAATAGAGGTTGTTATCTTTTTCTCTCATAGCATTTGGCAGCAACTTCAGAAGGATGATTCTAAATTGGACATATGTATAGCGTCAGGGAAAAGTTTAATAAACCTAGCACACACCTCTTCAGTCCCTGATGCAATTCAGGTCCCTATTCCATTTCAACCACTCCTGAAGACTAAAATCAAAAGATCTGTGTTCTGTCTAGTTTAATTCCTCAGATACATGTGGATTCCTGTTTCTGTTCAAATGTCCTGTATAGAACTCGTGTTTGCTTCGACATTACAGGCACTGGATGAATCTGGTCCCCTCTAGCTTGATCTGGGGCCTTTCGGACACCGGCTGGGTCAAATTTGCCTTCAGCAGTTTGTACAGTGCCTGGGCTCAAGGGTCGTGCGTCTTCTCCCACGGCATGCCTCAGTTTGATCCCACAGAAGTGCTAAAGGTAATGAGATCTTGGCTCTATGGGAAAGCAGTTTAGGGGACTGCCAAGCAGTTTTGTGGAAAGCTACACGAGATTGTGGTGTTGGAGGAGGCTCTTGAGAGTCCCCTGGACGGCAAAGAGAACAAACCTATCCATTCTGAAGGAAATCAACCCCGAGTGCTCACTGGAAGGACAGATCCTGAAGCTGAGGCTCCAATACTTTGGCCATCTCATGAGAAGAAAAGAGTCCTTGGAAAAAACCTTGATGTTAGGAAGGTGTGACGGCAAGAGGAGAAGGGGACGACTGAGGATGAGATGGCTGGACAGTGTCTGCGAAGTAACTAACATGAATTTGACCCAACTCCAGGAGGCAGTGGAAGACAGGGGGGCCTGGCGTGCTCTGGTCCATGGGGTCACGAAGTGTCAGACACGACTAAACGACTAAACAACAACAACACGAGATAAGAGGCTCTGGTGTAAGGAAGCAAGTATCCCCACATGCATGGTGCTCCTGGTGTCTGCTCACCTTGGCACCGAGGCTCCAATACTTTGGCCATCTCATGAGAAGAAAAGAGTCCTTGGAAAAAACCTTGATGTTAGGAAGGTGTGACGGCAAGAGGAGAAGGGGACGACTGAGGATGAGATGGCTGGACAGTGTCTGCGAAGTAACTAACATGAATTTGACCCAACTCCAGGAGGCAGTGGAAGACAGGGGGGCCTGGCGTGCTCTGGTCCATGGGGTCACGAAGTGTCAGACACGACTAAACGACTAAACAACAACAACACGAGATAAGAGGCTCTGGTGTAAGGAAGCGAGTATCCCCACATGCAAGGTGTCTGCTCACCTTGGCACCTTATCCACAAAGGGATTGCCCTGATTTCCTTTATACATGCGGTTGCGTATCAAGGAATTGCTCAGACTTGGTATGTGTGCTGTCTTACGGTAAATGTGGAGAATGCACCACATCAGGACACTCACAATTCAGAACCCACTCTTCGTGCCCAGTTCAGAACGCCACCACAAGAGAGCCTCACCATCACGTTTGGCATTTGTAGGGTTTAAAGGTGGTCAAGCCATTTGAAACCAGCAAATCAGGCCTTTGATTTAAGGTTGTAACAAGTCATCTTTTCTGAAAGCTCTTTTTGTTCCCTATTCTGGAAAGATCTTTTTAGATCCTTCTGGCAGAAACTATAGGTAGGCACCTAGAAATTCATGGGTTTACCACAAAAACTAATTTCATGTGGGTCAAAGATAATCAAGATGATAGATAAGCAGTTTCACCAAATACATCTGGCTCATACCCTCTTTCTTTGGTACCTCTATTATTAAGACAGTTCTGTCATACAGTATATTTTTTCCCATCTAACTACTGTACATTACTGCAGAGCCTTGTTATAGGCAAGACTGAATACTGCCCTTTCAAAACTCAAGGAAGATTGTCAGGGCAAACTTTATTTTGTCCATATGATATCTGGAAAGATCTTTTTAGATCCTTCTGGCAGAAACTACGGTAATAGGTAGGAACCTAGAAATTCATGGGTTTACCACAAAAACTAATTTCATGAGGGTCAAAGATAATCAAGTTGATAGATAAGCAGTTTCACCAAATACATCTGGCTCATACCCTCTTTCTTTGGTACCTCTATTATTAAGACAGTTCTGTCATACAGTATATTTTTTCCCATCTAACTACTGTACATTACTGCAGAGCCTTGTTATAGGCAAGACTGAATACTGCCCTTTCAAAACTCAAGGAAGATTGTCAGGGCAAACTTTATTTTGTCCATATGATACCCACTAGACTGAACACTTTTTCACATATCCTCTATTTTTGCCCTTTTTCTGCAACTCCAAGAGACTATTTCGCTAAATATTTATTTGATTTATTGAAAACACCACCCCCTGGAGACCTTGTTGTTCTTACACTATTAGAAGATAAAAAATCCTTATTTTTCTGTAGCAGGTAGGATTAAAAGCGAAAAAGCAGGATGGACTAGATCTCTTATGCCAATCCCCTTACGGACACATTTACCATTTCACTGAGCTGTCGTGCAAAGGGAAAAGACTTGCATGATTGTTTAGTCCACTGGTTCTTAACCTTGGGCTACTCAGGAGTTTTGGACTGCAACTCCCAGAAGCCTTCACCACCAACTGTGCTGGCTGAGGTTTCTGGGAGTTGCAGTTCAAAAACATCCGAGTAACAAAGGTTAAGAACCACTGGTTTAGATAGCACTTTTTGCACACTGGAATATTCTTTCTTTTTTTCTCTCTCATGCAAATCCCATTACTAGACTGTACTGAAGTATTATTACAGTATTAGGATTGCGTGTGTGGGCGATTGTGGAAGGATGACTGTTGTGTGGACTTTGAATGGTTAGGTCACCCAATTACAGCACTGCATTCTCACCTACCTCATACTTGTTTGTATTTACACACCCGAAATGGATTTAAAACAAACAAAGAAAGAAAGAAACAGAGATCCACAAAGGCACAAATATTGTATTGCATTGTTTGTCTTTATATTTTGTTTTATGGTACAGTGGACCCTTGACTTGCAGACGGCTTGACTTACAGACTTTTTGAGTTACAGACTTCTCTGGCCGCAAAATTTAGGTTTGACTTGCAGCCTGAGAATTGACTTACAGACCAGAAAAAAACAAAAATGGAACAAAAATGGCCTGTTATGGGATTAATCGGTTTTCAACGCACTGTAGGTCAATGGAGACTTGACCTACAGACTTTTTGACTTGAGAACCGCCTTCCAATACGGATTAAGTTCTCAAGTCAAGACCCCACTGTATTATTTAAACTGCCCAGTGGCCTTAGTTGCCAGATGGGCGATATAGAAATTAATTAATTAATTAATTGAATTGTTGGTTCATTGATTGATTGATTGACTGATTGAATGAATGAATGAATGAATGAATGAATGAATGAATGAATGACACAGACCCAAGGATGGAGTGGGTTATAGATTGTCTCCTAAAGGTGAAAGGCTAATCAACTCCACTTCCTTTATTTGTCTACAGAGCCAGTGGGGTCTCTTCTTCACACTTCTGTTCATCCATATTAGGAATACTGTACTAGAAGTCATCTTATACCCATCAAGGCGATTGGTCTCTCTGGTTCAGGTGTGGGAAACCTCCTGGGTGGTAGGAACTTTTGGGGTTTTTATCATTTGGTGGTCCCTCAGCTTTTGTAATGGTTTTTCCAATAAAGGCTAATAATTCCAGTGTCAAAAGAGTTGTGAATCCAGTCCAATGTGAATTTTACAAGAGCTATCCAAGCATATGATATATAGACAAGGAGACTTCTAAAATCTTGGATATGGACATTCATTTATGCAGCAAATACTGAGATGATTATTAGAAATAAGCGAAGATCAACAAATTATGAGAAGTGAAATGTCAGAGATGGTAAAACCGGCCTGCCCCCTTGTGAATCCCTTCCCCCCTTTTTGTCTTTACCTTATTTGAAATTTAATAAAATGCAGTTTTAAAAAAACAGCTATCCAAGCTACTGAACACAGTTACCAGAATAGGTTCAGCACTTTTTATCATTTATTCAACATCTGCAATAAGCACGTTTTGCCACTCCCACAATATCTGCATCACCAACTGTTCTAAGACGTCAGAATGTTTCTCCTAAGGCTTAGAGACCACTATTAAATTCTTTAAAATAAAAATATAATGGGTTTTTTTGGTTACGCCATTTTCCCTTTGACCCTGCCTATGAAGAATACTGTGTTACGTGATAGAGTGACAACCAAACTAGCACTCAAGAGATCTGTGTTCAAATCCATGTGGTTCCATATGTCTGTCCTGACTTGATGGCCTACACCATAACCACTAGAATGAGACTCTTGGTGACTTCTCAGAAACAAAAAAAATGGGCAGCAGGGCTCAAAGAGATCCCCCACCTTTGATGTACGAATGGCTTTGTGAAATCTTCAGCAAAGATATTTTATATCAGCTGGGCAGATTTAACCTGAAATACTGTGTCAGACTCCAGGTGCCACAAGTCCCCTCCAGATCTATGATTCTGTGAAAATCTGTGAGACTTTTTTGAACAAGTGATGCATGAGGTACGGATTTTTCCCCCCTAGACCCTCAACAAGTATCCAGTGACGACCTTCTGTGGCACCCCAACCATCTTCCGTATGCTTCTTCAGCAAGACCTCCGCAAGTATGACTACCTTCCATAACCTTGTTTTCTAAAACTCTGTTAGAATTTTTCCATGTATAAGACTATACTTTTGTCTAAAATCTTTAGCCTAAAAATTGAGGGTCGTCTTATACATGGAAGTCAGCTGAGGAGAGAACAAACACAAGTGGAGGGGAAAGCAGGGATCAAAGCGATCCTGCAGCGCTTTGATCCCTTTCCCTCTACACTTGCTAAGCCCCACTTAGATTTCTTAATTTTGGATTAGAAAAGTGGGGCGTCTTATACATGGGTGATTCTTATACACGGAAAAATATGGTACTTTTCCTCCTGGTTTTGGTTGGTTGATTTGAGTTATGTTTGTTTCTTTGGTGTTTCACTCTGAAGCTCAGTTCAGAGTTTCTCTACATCTGCTAACTCTGCTTTTCCCCTTCTTTCCCCATCTCAACTGCTAGAAGTGATCTTGTCTTCCATCCACCTATATGTGTTGAACTTGTTCTCCAGCTGTAGATACCCATGTAGTCAAAATTGTACTATCCAGAATGCTGCCCTCCTTACAAATGTAGGCAATCTGGGCAGGTTTGGGAGAACAGCTGTATTTGGGAAAGTAGATAGAAAAATGGAAACCTAAAGAAGAGAGGATTCCAGAAATATCTCATCTCTACATCGGTGGTTCTCAACCTTGCGTAACCTAGGTGTTCTTGATCTGCAAGTCCCTGAAACCCCAGCCAGCACAGCTAATGGTGAAGGCTTCTAGGAATTGTAGTCCAAGAACATGTCGGGAGCCAAGGATGGGGACCACTACTCTAAATGGACACAGAATGCTGGCACAATGGCAGATGGGAGATAGAAAGAATTATATGGCAAAGAGATGGACTGGCTGATTGGAATGCTATAGAGGAACAGCCCTCACTGCAACACTTCATGACAGGTGAAGGGTGGCCCTTATATTTGGGCCCCTGAGGAGCTGCCCACCTAACCCCTGATGCTCCTCCCTACCCAACAGGAATAGCAGGGCATAATGTTTACTTCAAGCACAAAGACCGTGGTCCGGTACCCCTGTTCTTCTGCCCCTCCAGTCTCAAAGGGCATCAGCTTCTGCTACTGTAAGTCCCACTTCTACTTTCAGAATAATGAAATGGCATCGTTGCCTCAACAGTATTGCTATATGTTGTATATTGGAGATGATGCTATTTTAGGAGCTTCGAAACAAGTGTTTCAAGAATGGCATTGTTGATTTAAATTCAAAAATGGATATTTCTGTTCATGTCTGTACAACGTATACACTGTGATGAAAATCATCTCCTTTCAGAAGACTGGTGGGTTGTAATTTTTTTTCATATATTTGTATAGATACAAATTCAAGAGCCTGACAACCTGTTTATGTGGTGGGGAGCCCCTGAACACTGAAGCGATGGAGCAATGGAAGGCCCAGGCGGGACTGGATATCTATGAAGGCTATGGGCAGACTGAGAGTGTATGTTTGTGTGCAACGAGCACAGCTGTGATGGTGGAACCACTCATGCCTTGTTGCTGTACAGTAGGACCCCCATATCTGCTGGGGATTGGTTCCAACCCCCTGTGGATACTGAAAACCGTGGATAATAGCAAACGAGAGAGACAGACAGACAGCCAGAATGGTAAAAGGGGAAAAAAACAAGAAAAAAATATTTTCCCATACATTAGATACTGAAAACCATGGATAATAGCAAACGAGAGAGACAGCCAGCCAGCCAGAATGGTAAAAGGGGAAAAAACAAGAAAAAAATATTTCCCCATACATTACCAGAACTGGCCACTAGAGACCATGCTATGTATTGTTCTCTTAACAAATATTCACAGCATGCTGTCTAGCTCCCTCTAGTTCTGGCAATACATGTAGAAATAGTTTTTCATTGATTTTTTTTCTTTTAATATTTTAAATATTTTCAAACCATAGATAAGTTAAACCATGATACGAATCCCGTGGATATGGGGGTCCTACTGTAATTAGTTATTTAATTATTTAAAATATTTTTATCCTTTCTCCTTAAAAAGGTCCTGACGTGGCTCTGGGTCAGCAAAACACTGAAGTCTCAAATGGGAGCCACTAATCACTCAGAATTCCTGTGGTAAAACAGTCAAGGCTTTTAAATATTTACAGGGGTGTCCTCACATGGTTCACCATTCTCATGCACTGAGAAAATATTTTTATCCTTTCTCCTTAAAAAGGTCCTGACGTGGCTCTGGGTCAGCAAAACACTGAAGTCTCAAATGGGAGCCACTAATCACTCAGAATTCCTGTGGTAAAACAGTCAAGGCTTTTAAATATTTACAGGGGTGTCCTCACATGGTTCACCATTCTCATGCACTGAGACACCTCATGCAGTGAGAATGTACACAGACACAGACACACACACACACACACACACACACACACATATCTCTTAGCATGGGTTGGCATTTGTCCATTTTGGAGAGAATCTGTACATTTGCATGATGGATTTTTGCACATTTCTATCGATGTGCAAAAGTCGAAGCTGGGAATTACTGCCAGAACTGTTAAAAATCCTCGGGATTGGTGTGAGGAAATTGTTGCGTGGCTTTAAAAAGAAACTTCCTCTAATTAACTCTCATGATTCTGGCAGAAACCTACGGAGCTGACTGAGCTACAAGGTCCCCTCAGTAGATACCTTATTCCCCCACCCCCATATTTGTTACTTTACTTCAACCAGCACTTACTCTCTCTCTCAATACATGCACTCAGAGACTCTGGTAATGAGAAAGAACAAAATGTTTCCGTTTACTTACAGTTCCTCATAGGTAAAAAGAAACATCATATTGTGTAAAAAATGTTAACTTGTTACATCACTGAGCTTAACTGATTGATTACATGTTAACTTGTTACATCACTGAGCTTAACTGGTTGATTATTGACTAACAGACTAGTTACATAGCTGACAGAACGCTTCACTCTGTCTTCAGACTTCATTGCTGACGCTGACCCTAACACTAACTGAACCCTAGAAAAAAGCAGGGGAAAGATTCTGAAGCAGAGATGGAACAATTGGCTGCTGCTGAGTTGACCAAGATCCACTCTGGTCCAGAAAGGATAGAAAACTTCTCAAAAACATCATATGTAGGTTGCAGTATTGCCAGTAAAAGTAGTAGCACCAGATGGAGATGTCTGCATCTTTCAGAGCAATCAGCCTGTGATTCTCTGCTTGCTTTACATGTTTGTGCATGCGGAATTTTGCAAATTGCACCAGATAAAGAATTCTTGTCTTACTCTCATACTGGAGGCAAGGTCTCCCAGAGAACCTTGAAAATCCTTGAACTCTCATACTGGAGGCAAGGTCTCCCAGAGGACCTTGAAAATCCTTGCCCACCAGAGTTCACAACTTGAAGTGCCAGGTTGTATAGCATATGATGTCATCATCCTGTTAATCAAACAGTCCTGGCACTTTTTGATTAGCAGGATAATGACATCATATGCCATACATCCTCTTCCTTGCCCCATGAGCTTAGCTACAATCTTGACAGAAACTGAGTGGAAATATATATTTTTCCCAGCAGCCATGTATTCTTGTGAGCTGTCTCTGCTGTAGATTTCGTGATTCCTATCTTTCCCATCTCTGAATCCTTCTAACCACCTTTTCAAAGTCACTGAAGAGGGAAGCCTTCACCCTGCCTTGTCTAACTGCACGGCTATGTGCAGACATTCTCTCTACCAACGGACCTAAAATACCTTAATTGACACTGTAGTTTTCTCTGCTGTTTGAACGAAGAGACAGGGCTAACTCCATACTTATGATTTTGTTTTCACAGACCTTGATATGTGGAACCATGAGGCATATGAAAGTAAAACCTGGGTTTATGGGGAAACCCTGCCCACCCTATGATGTCCAGGTATGTGCCTTGATAGTGCTGGTTGCAAAAGAATAGGAAACACTTCAATTACTTACTTCTGGTTCTTCTCCTTTCCAGATTATAGATGAGCACTGCAATCTCCTACCGGCTGGAAAAGAAGGAGACATTGCTGTTAGAATCAAACCAAAAAGGCCCTTGGGCCTTTTCACTCGTTACGTGGTAAGAAGCGACTCTTTAAGATGACTGGGGTGTCAACTTTCATAGGATACTGTTAGCATGACTAAATTTCAGTATCCTGGGGGGTATGAATATTAGAGGCCACAGAACTGGCAACCCCCCACAATCATTTCCTGAGTGTCCCCAATTTGTTTAATAAATAGGTTTATTACTGAGCCATTGCAGATATGATAGTTTAGCACTACATCACCTCCAAACAGGAAAAAAAAATGCTACAAAATAGAAACAGCCCCAACAAAATGTAGAAGATTTCGTATATTTCCATAGTATTTCTGTATATTTCTAAATTATGACGAACTTTAGAAGGCTCATGCTGTCTGATACTTTGAAAGTCAAGCAGTTTGACAGTGAACCAAAAAAGGATCAGCGAAGGAAGGAAGGAAGGAAGGAAGGAAGGAAGGAAGGAAGGAAGGAAGTTAGTTAGTTAGTTAGTTAGTTAGTTAGTTAGTTAGTTAGTTAGTTAGTTAGTTAGTTAGTTAGTTAGTTAGTTAGTTAGTTAGTTAGTTAGTTAGTTAGTTAGTTAGTTAGTTAGTTAGTTAGTTAGTTAGTTAGTTAGTTAGTTAGTTAGTTAGTTAGTTAGTTAGTTAGTTAGTTAGTTAGTTAGTTAGTTAGTTAGTTAGTTAGTTAGTTAGTTAGTTAGTTAGTTAGTTAGTTAGTTAGTTAGTTAGTTAGTTAGTTAGTTAGTTAGTTAGTTAGTTAGTTAGTTAGTTAGTTAGTTAGTTAGTTAGTTAGTTAGTTAGTTAGTTAGTTAGTTAGTTAGTTAGTTAGTTAGTTAGTTAGTTAGTTAGTTAGTTAGTTAGTTAGTTAGTTAGTTAGTTAGTTAGTTAGTTAGTTAGTTAGTTAGTTAGTTAGTTAGTTAGTTAGTTAGTTAGTTAGTTAGTTAGTTAGTTAGTTAGTTAGTTAGTTAGTTAGTTAGTTAGTTAGTTAGTTAGTTAGTTAGTTAGTTAGTTAGTTAGTTAGTTAGTTAGTTAGTTAGTTAGTTAGTTAGTTAGTTAGTTAGTTAGTTAGTTAGTTAGTTAGTTAGTTAGTTAGTTAGTTAGTTAGTTAGTTAGTTAGTTAGTTAGTTAGTTAGTTAGTTAGTTAGTTAGTTAGTTAGTTAGTTAGTTAGTTAGTTAGTTAGTTAGTTAGTTAGTTAGTTAGTTAGTTAGTTAGTTAGTTAGTTAGTTAGTTAGTTAGTTAGTTAGTTAGTTAGTTAGTTAGTTAGTTAGTTAGTTAGTTAGTTAGTTAGTTAGTTAGTTAGTTAGTTAGTTGTGGTCTGAAATGTGGATCACACTATACACATCACACTATACACAAATTTTTCCACGGCATTTGTGTCGATATGTTGGTTAACATCTGTCAAAAAGACCTAGGCACTTGCTGATTCGGAAGGAAATGACTCAGTAACCCCAAAACACATTGGGATGCAGATCCTGGAATAAATGCGAATAAATATCACATGACCACAAAGCAGGACAGGAATGCAATTAAAAGTTGCATAATCACATGGGGGACATGTTTCCGGTGTGACTGTGCAGCCTTCAGTGGCTAATCCTCATCCAGAAGCTTCCAGCAGGTCCTGCTGTCCATTTCCAGCCACTTTTGGGAGATCTTTGGACTTTTTTTTTGCCCAAGGAGATCCCCCTTCTAAAAACTGGAAGTGACTCAGGGACCCACAAACAATGTCTTGAGGGCTGCATGCTTCTCACAAGCTATACTTTGCCCACCCCTGCCTTAAGTGAACTAAAAGGAATGACATGTGGACATCACGCGCATCTTTTGCCTGTGCTGTTAGATCTAGGATGGACCGTTCCTATGTGTAAGAGTCTCCTGGACCTTGCAAGGAATGCAGTGATGAAAAGACATGTACCCTGATTCACTTTTTAGGATGAACCTGAAAAAACTGCCTCGACGGAACGTGGAGACTTCTACCTAACTGGGGATCGAGGGATCATGGATGAAGAGGGCTACATCCAGTTTGTTGCAAGAGCTGATGATGTCATCTTATCTTCTGGGTATGATTATATCCTTTGAAACTCTGCCTGACTATCGATCAACGATATAATTGCCGCCCAGAATAGACCTTTGGTCTAGAGGGGCGGGATAGATAAATAAATAAATAAATAGATAGATAGATAGATAGATAGATAGATAGATAGATAGATAGATAGATAGATAGATAGATAGATAGATAGATAGATAGATAGATAGATAGATAGATAGATAGATAGATAGATAGATAGATAGATAGATAGATAGATAGATAGATAGATAGATAGATAGATAGATAGATAGATAGATAGATAGATAGATAGATAAATAAATAAATAAATAAATATTAGGGGGCCTGGACAAGAAGGGTCAGCATACTAGCAGTTTTTTTTAATTAGCAAGGACAATAATTATGCCTCCATCCCGCCCACTCCAAGATTGTCTGTTCTTTTTCAGCTTAGCTGCAGCTCATATAGTAGCTGAGAGTAACATGGACTTTCCTGTATATTGGACTGTGCTTGTGTCAAGCCAGAGCGTTCTGACTTTGTCCTTAATCAGGCAATTAAGAACCATTAGCTTTACAAGAGACCTGCTTTTTGGTGGCGGTAACCTACCTTTTCTTCTGGACTTTCTTCAGAGTCATGACTATGGCATGCACTTCAAAATAGACACCTACACCCATCGTTACAAATTAACAGGTTGCCAAACTTAAAATCCAATTAGAAACCCCCGATATTCGCCATGTTCTCATCCCACATGGACAAAAAAAACCCCAAATGTTTCCATCACTACAAATGAAACTAAAATGTAAAAGACTAGGGTCAGGATTGCAGTAGAAAATCCTGTCCACAGGCCCTAATCCAGCCATTTCTTGTGAATGGGGTATCACCAAGGTGGAATTGCACTGAAGGATTTCCAGTTGATTTCCAAGGGGTAGCAATCCTGTGCATTTTGTAATGGCTTCTCCACTGGTGGTTGTGGGTTTTTCGGGCTCTTTGGACGTCTCCTGAAAAAAGACAAAAGCCGTTCCCACAGCTATAAATACTATCCAACAAACACCAACAGAGCATGGATAGAGTTAATACTCCAGTTCTCTGAAGATGCTGGCCACAGAAACTGGTGAAATGTAAGGAAGAACAACCTTCAGAACACGGCCAAAGAGCCCAAAAAACCCACAACAACCATTAGATCCCGGCCGTGAAAGCCTTTGCGGCTTCTCCACTGTTTGCAACAATTATTTCCGCATTGCAGAGCATAACTATGTTGTGTTTCATCACTTGCCAAGATCAAATCCTTCCTTTCCATATGTGGATGCTACTTTACACCATTCAGCCCACTATTTTGTACCCTTGCGGTAGAAATTCTGCTTAGTGCAGTAAATTACACTCGAGTAGGCCCATTGAACCAATGGGGATGGAGTGAATCATCTCCTCTGTAAGTTCCATTGGTTCAACTAGACCTGTTTTAGTTGGGATTTACTGCACTGAATTAAGTTGGAACTAGGGTAGGTCCATTTAAACTAATGGAGAAGTTGACTTGCCCAGTCTCCGCTGATTCAATTGGCCTACTCTAGTGTAACTTACTACATCGAATCATCTCCTCTGTAAGTTCCATTGGTTCAACTAGGATGTACTGCACTAAAGTAAGTTGGAACTAGGATAGGTTCATTTGAACTAATGGAGAAGTTGACTTGCCCAGCCTCCACTGATTCAATTGGCCTACTCTAGTGTAACTTACTACATCAAGCAGCAGGATTTCAGCCATGGTCTTCTTCACCTGCTCCTTGACCTGTTTAACTCCTCTGTAAGTTCCATTGGTTCAACTAGGATGTACTGCACTAAAGTAAGTTGGAACTAGGATAGGTTCATTTGAACTAATGGAGAAGTTGACTTGCCCAGCCTCCACTGATTCAATTGGCCTACTCTAGTGTAACTTACTACATCAAGCAGCAGGATTTCAGCCATGGTCTTCTTCACCTGCTCCTTGACCTGTTTAACCAGAGATGCCAGGGACGGGGCCTGACACTAAGGATCAGACCTGAAAGAAGTTACTTTTTATGGAGCTATACAAAATCCCCTTCCCGTTTGTGTTGTTGGATGGGGGGGGCGGAATTGTGGGATAGTTGCAGCTGTTGTGATCCAAAAATAAAACAGAATAGAGCAACACAAAAAGTTAAGAGCAGGATGTGAATTGTGAGTTAGACATGGGAGCTTTGTATTCATCTCCCGGGGGAGAGGAACATGAAGTCCACCAGCACAGGTGTGGCAGTGGTCCTTCCCTGCCCCCCCAGGACACGGATGTGAATTGTGAGTTAGACATGGGAGCTTTGTATTCATCTCCCGGGGGAGAGGAACATGAAGTCCACCAGCACAGGTGTGGCAGTGGTCCTTCCCTGCCCCCCCCCAGGACACCTTGTCTCCCCTAGGAGATGAATATGAAGCTCTCATGTCCAGTTGGAATGCAAAAAAGAAAAGTCTCTGAACTCTTTCAAGGACAGGACCATTGACCTGTTCCACATTCTCACACCTTCCAGTTCTATAAGTTCAACGTTTTTTTGCATCCCAAATATAAAGTGCATCATTTGCTAGATTGGTCAAAAACAAATATTTACAAATTCTGCACCAGCTGAAATCTGAACAGCAGCCCTGTGCCTAGCATGGAGAAGTCCAAATTATAGTTGTTTCACATATTGACTTTGAAAAGATGTCCGTTCCTCAAAAAGGGGGAGAAAAGGCGGCAATTCTAATTCATCGCTACTGTGGCTAATTTGCAGTCTGGACAGCTCAGCAAGTTTGGTGTCCAAAGGTTGGGAGTTCAATCCCCCACTGAGCCTCCTGGAAAAATTGCCAGGCTGGGTGGCCTTGGGCCAGCTGCACACTCCCAGGGCTCCCCCTAGAGGAAGGGAAGGGGAAACCACTTCTTAGTACCCTGCCTAGGAAACCCTGGAAGCAGTCACTTTCACTCACAATTGATTGACACTATTGTTGTTGTTGTTGTTGTTGTTGCTAATGATTTTACACAACCACAAACCCAAACTTTGAAAAGTTAAATACTCAACGTCCTAGACTTGGGTGCACAAATATGTGAGTTTAACTTCTTGTCCACAGTCCCATTTTTAAATTCCTTCTATCGCCAGCGTGAAAACTTTTGCAGACTTTGGTAAATTCTTTCTGAGAAATGAATTGGAACAATATTGTCCTCCTTCCCATTTGTACCTGGGATTCTCTAAGCAAAGCACCAGAAAACGTTGATCTCTGCTTATCTCATCTGCATGTTTGAAGGTGAAGAAGTGCAAAAGGTCATTTCTAGCGTTCTCTGACCAGACAAGAAAACAAAGAACAATCTGTTGTGCAAGTTAAGCAGAAGAACAAAAATAAATGCAAATAGTGAATCAGCAAATGCTGCTGTTTTGCAGCATGGAGTCTGAAGGACAAGAAGTACTGGAAAGGTTATTTCTGTAGAGAGAGAGACAGAGAGAGGGAGGGAGGGAGCTAGCTAGCTAGCTGAAAGGGAAAATACACTATGCCAAATGGTAAGGAATCTGGAGGGACAAATCCTGAAGCTGAGGCTCCAATACTTTGGCCATCTCATGAGAAGAGAAGACTCCCTGGAAAAGCCCCTGATGTTAGGAAAGTGTGAGGGCAAGAGGAGAAGGGGACGACAGAGGATGAGATGGTTGGACAGTGTCATCGAAGCGACCAACATGAATTTGCCCAACTCTGGGAGGCAGTGGAAGACAGGAGGGCCTGGCGTGCTTTGGTCCATGGGGTCACGAAGAGTCGGAAACGACTTAACGACTAAACAACAACAAAGGAATCTTGGGTGTTTCCACCAGAAGTGTAGTGGAGCCCAAGATTTTAGTTTTCTCATCATCAGGGACCATAACATCATTCCACCAAAGTCCTTCTTCTGTCTGAGTTTAGTTGTGATCTTCATAGTAACTAAGGGCAAAATTGGAACAGTATATTTTTGCATTGCCATCTGTGTTGTAATGCAAAATGTACAAAGCTTGTTTGGTCTTGAATGGGCAACTAAGAACCATCAGGTAAAGGTAAAAGGTAAAGGTTCCTCTTGACATTTAGTCCAGTCATGTCCGACTCTAGGGCATGGTGTTCATCCCCGTTTCCAAGCCATAGAGCCAGCGTTTGTCCATAGACAGTTTCCGTGGTCACATGGCCAGTGCGACTTAGACACGGAACACCATTACCTTCCCGCCAAGGTGGTATCTATTTATCTACTGGCATTTTTACATGCTTTTGAACTGCTAGGTTGGCAGGAGCTGGGACAAGCGATGGGAGCTCACTCCGCCACGTGGATTCAAACCACTGGTCTTTCGACCTTGCAACCCAGAGGCTTTTGCGGTTCAATCCACAGCGCCACCACGTCCCACCTTAAGAACCATTAGCCTTACAAAAAACCAAGCAGTTTAACCCGCAGTGTCACCACGTCCCACCTTAAGAACTATTAGCCTTACAAACCCTCCTGGTTTATTGAGAACTTGATAAAGAGTGATCCAGCTGCCTGCCTTTGGGGGCTTTTCATGGGGGAGTGGCTATGGGGACTGCCAGGATGAGTCCTGCCCTTCCAAATTAACCTTTACTCTACAGAGATTAACAATTTCGAGGAGTCTTGTTGATGGCCTAAACGGACAAGAAAGAAACATCTAGCAAGTATATTTTCCTTCCTTCCAAAACACATGATTTACACTGAACTATGATGATTCCTTTCCTCCCCCCCCCCATTAGGTATCGCATTGGACCCTTTGAAGTGGAATTTGCTTTGATGGAACACCCTGCAGTGGCTGAAGCAGCTGTGGTCAGCAGCCCTGATCCCATAAGAGGAGAGGTAGTCACTTGGAATGTCAGAATGGTTATCGTTAGAAACCCAACAGTTTCAGACACTGTTAACCATGCCTTCCCTGAACTGTGTTGTAGGTTGTCAAAGCTTTGATCATCCTGAATCCTGCCTACGAGTCGCACGAGAAGGACAAATTGATTCTTGAACTGCAAGAACATGTCAAAACGGTAACAGCACCCTACAAGTACCCCAGACAGGTAAGTATGGAACAAGTATGCATCAATCCTTGGAAAAAACAGACCGCCTTATGTGGCCATCTCAGGTGGTGTCTTATTGGGGTTAACTGTAGCAACTTGTGTTCAATGTTTTCCACACCCTTGCGTGTGTGCCTGCTTCTTCCATGCCAGGAAAAGTCAGGAGGAAGAAAAAAGGATGGAATCTCTAATGTACAATAGATCAGACGGGGAAACAAACTATCTAGAAGGGTTCCAGGAAAGATCTTGCTTCTGATCTGCCAGCTGTTTTTGGACCAGGATTTCCTTTCCTTGCTGCATAATGTACAATAGATCAGACGGGGAAACAAGCTATCTAGAAGGGTTCCAGGAAAGATCTGGATTCTGATCTGCCAGCTGTTTTAGGATCCTTTCCTTGCTGTGTTACATGCAGAAATTACTTTTCTCATCTGCCACTAGATGTTATGAGGAAGACATATTCCTTCAGCGATTTCCCTCTGGGAAAGTGGGATTTGCTGAGAGCTGTGTGCCTCAACAATCACATACCAGTACAGTCCGCATCTATTTTCCAAATACCAATGAGGAAACACAGCATGCTAAATGCAAAGTATAGAGGTGAATGAAAGCATGTGCGATGATCAACAGATGTCCTTCCCCATATCTATCTCGATGCTCAATGGTTAAAAATAGAGGGGTCTTGACCTTCTACTCCATGCAAAAAAAATCCCCTTACCTGGTGGGTTTGGATGAAGCTGGTTTGTTAATTTATTCAACTAAGACACGATGCAAGAGGAAATGAGCTGGGGAGGGAAGAGGAAAACAAGGAAACTTAGGCACAGGTTCTTAACGGTGATGGAATGGACAACAGATATGGTGTGGCAAAGTCCAGTAGAGCCTGACTCTCAGGAAGGATACAGGTGACCCTGTTTTTCTCTCTCTTTTGTACAACATGGTAGGAGGGCTGCTGAAATTCACTAACAGGAGCCCAAGAAACAAGAAAATTAAACGGGCAATGGAAGAGATGAGTAGGAGACTCGGGGTCTTATGTTACAGATGACCCATTGTGATGTGCAAATTGTCAGGGGCAAGAGCTGTTTTCAATTCCCATGAAAATCAGTGTGCTTCGACTGGTTGCTGGAAGCGAGCAACAGGCTCTAACGTGTTTCCCCGGAAATAAGACAGGGTCTTACATTAATTTTTGCTCCAAAAATGCATTAGGGCTTATTTTCCGGAGATGTTTTATTTTACAGTCCTGTCATCTTCTTCTGGTTGCTGGACAAGGGTGGAGAGCGGAGTTTCAACTGGGGCTTATTTTTGGAGTAGGGCTTATATTACGAGCATGCTGAAAAATCCTACTAGGGCTTATTTTCAGGTTAGGACTTATTTTTGGGGAAACAGGGTATTTGCAAGCCTGATCTTTTGGATGAGAAGGTCTGCCGGAATCATGTGTCTGGAACACTAAGATTGTTTCAGTTTTAATTATGATTATCCATGAGGTTTTCAGCCAGCTTCCTCTGTTCCTAAAAGCCCCTCCTTGTCTAAATAAAAACTTATCTTGCGGCACTACATCCACTCCATTGCAAGCTGCAGGTGGGCCCCAGTTCAGAACATCCCCACTGATGGCTATGTTGTGAAAAATCCAGCAACCACTGCCTTGTCATTCTATGGGAATCATAGTCCCTTAATCAAGGGTTTGGCATGAAGCTACTATCAAGAAGGCTACACCTCCCACAGAGACTGTTTTTCCACATTGCAAGCAACTCATTTTTAATAGCAGGATTCCTATGACTTTAACAGTTAGAAAGCATACCAATATTTAGCCCACTGAGCTTTGGAAGGAATGTCAGCCGTAATTTCAGTCCAGCTGTACCTTATTCTGTCTGTTACAATAAAATCAGAAAGACATTTTGCATCACCTTGAAGGCTAAGAAGATTTACTGTGCATAAGCTTTCATTCAAAACCGCCCAACATCTTCAGATGGATCTAAAGCTCATGAAATATTAAGTGTAATTGAAATGGTCAATGCGCCACCATGGTGGGGTTTTTTTTTAATTAAATAAAATTAGTAAAGACATCACTAACATAAAATGTGTATGCATACAATACAATACACCTATAATTCCCCTCCTTTGCCACCCTCACCTTTGGAACTAGGTAACCAAAATTATCCTTTCGATCCCTTTTCACCCCATTCCACTTCAAAAATGCATTGATTCTTCTGCTGGCTGCTGGCTGGCTGGCTGGCTGGCTGGCTGGCTGGCTGGCTGGCTGGCTGGCTGGCTTATTTATTTATTTATTTATTTATTTACTTACTTACTTACTTACTTACTTACTTACTTACTTACTTACTTACTTACTTACTTACTTACTTACTTACTTACTTACTTACTTA